ATGTCTATTAAAACATACCCATTATCCACATGAGCAAATTTATATTTATTTAATTTGCACATGAAGTGGATAATTGCAAATTTTTGAAAACTCATCCATAAATAAGAATCTGATTTTAAGAAAACTCATCCAATATATCGCTAATGCATTTCTACAGCAGAAATTTTTGTTCCAGTGATGGGGAAACTTTCAGAGACCAAGTGCCCAAACTGCAGCTTAAAACCACTGTGATATTTACTGTGTATTCATGTTGATAGTTTATGACCACGGCTGGGGCTACTTGGCTTGCAGGCTGACAAAAGGGGCTCTGCGTACCCACTACACATGTGCTGTAGGTTCACCACCACTGGTTTGCCCATTTGGTACCATAGATCACTCTGACATAAGTTCAAGTTTAAATATTCTTTTCCATAATAAGTTATTAAAAGTATGAAATGAAATAAACAGGATTTTAAATGAAAATGATTATACTGAAATTTGAAGTTCAACATAGTATAATGTAAATTTAAAATATATTAATTCATGTTTCTTTCCTAATATGTTAATGAACAAGATCTAGCATCAGGTATTTAAGGTAGTTTCAAAGTAGTTATGACTATGAATAATTTTTTTAGTATATGGAATGATAGTCATGTAATTTGTATTGGTGACAAAGTCAGTGATAGTTCTATTATTGAGAGTTTTATTGGTGACAAAGTCAATGATAGTTCTATCATTGAGGTTTGTTGTTCACTTTTATAATGAATAAAATGCTTAATTGCAGTTAGAAGCCAATAAAAAAAATTCATATTACTAATGAAAGTTCACAGACCTCTGTTCCATACGTCTATATATTCTAGATTAAAATCCCATGAAAGAACGTCATAATATACTGTCTTAATTTATAAAACATGAAGATAAACACTGCTAATACGACAAATATATATTACAAAATCTGACCCAAAAGTAAACGTTTCCTGCCTGCCCTATCTACACTCCCTTTCTGGGGATGAGCCATTATGCACCACGGGACCCTATTGTACATCTGCCCCTATTCCAGTTCTTCTTTTCTTTGCCTAGATAGGCAGGTGCTAGACTTTCACAAGGCACTGAGCCAGATCATAACAGATTCTTTCTCAAAAAAAGTTAACTAAGAGACACAAAGACTGTAATTATAGTAGGAGCTCAAAAGCCACTTGCAAATAAAGCTCAACATGCTTATCACAGATAGCCAAAATTAAGTCAGAACTGAGGAGAAACAATAAGAGAAAAATAATGGAAGTCCACCTGCAGTGAAGTAAATGGAATATAAGCAGAGAAAGCAACAGACTTGGTCCACGCAAAAGATAAAAACTCTTTCTGTAAGACAAATTTAGATCTCATTACTTATCCCTACATGGTCTCAATTTGGCTTTTCTATCTGTATGATATTCCAAATGATCCCTGTGGCTGTCTTTCTTCAAATACTTCATGTCCTGCTCCACTCAAAATAACAAAGGATATTGTTCTGCTGTTGCTGTTCTTACCTTTGACATCCAAAAACCAGGGAGAGGGCTGGTGAGATGGCTCAGTGGTCTAGAGCACCTACTTGGAACAAGCTAAGCTAAGCAAAAGCGCAGCGACCGCGGTTCTAATCCCCAGCACCACATGCCGGCCAGCCCCGCCCCCTGGTGGGCTGAGCTGGCCACACACACACACAAAATAAATAAATAAATTAAAAAAAAAAAACCAGGGAGAAATAAAGTAGATTAAAGGATGGAATAAAAAATTATGTGAGAATTAATCACTGTTTCTTTAATTTGTGGTACTCATTTCTATTAGTAGCTTTCTTAAATATAAAACTATTTGAAATTAAGGTAATAAACATCAAATAGATCTGCTAACACCCTGATGGTTATTTGTAATGCTACCTGTCATTTGTTACACATGAGTGAGCTTAGTATTTCATAAAATCATTCTGTTTATATCCCAATCATAAATGTTCATTACATTCCAATTAGATGCTAGTCACTACTAGATGAGGATCATAGGTGATATTACTAAATATCTTTTTTAAAATCATGAAAAGTATCTCATTTGGATAGTTACAGCCCTTGTAGAGCATGATTTATGAGTAGGTACAGATTAAATTTCATCCCTTTCAATCCTTTACCTGCCCCATTAGGTAATATAAAACCTGTACAACCACAGACATTAGCCATTGTTGTAAGTACTATGGGTAATTGAGAGAGAAGCACACACAATCACTGTCCTTTAAAAACATATTGAGTATGGATTTTTCAAGGAAGTATATGTAAATGAGCATTCTCTACTGCCTGTAGTCTACTGCCTATATTCAATGCTAACAATTTATCACTCCAAGTGAATTGTTTGCAAAGTAACACCTCAAAAGTTAAATTTCAATTTGTGTATGGATCATTATCTCTTAAAATGTCTTCATAATGATGTTTAACACTGATATAAAATCATTGTGTACACAAATGTGTTTGTTATATGCGAGGCAAGGAAATTAAAGGCAATAAGAATTGCAAACCTCAGAAGAGATCAGAGAAGTTTGAACTAAAGTATTATTTTTGCAAATAGTTCCTAGATCACAAATAATTATTTATCAAACATCTATCTAAATCCTCTAAGTGATTTTTAAAAGATGAAGTTTAAGATTCAATGATATTTCATTCTGTTAATAGAAATAATGAGCTACAAAATGCAGTCTACTTGCTGGTGAATTTCTAGTTTTCTCAAATTTATAGGATAATATTCCAGCATGTTAAATTTATCATCAAAGCGACTTGTGCTTGAGAAAAAGAGGGATCATCATCGTGGTTCATGCTTGCTTATGGTCAAAAATTAGCCACAGACAATTTACACGTGCCTTAAAAAAGAGATGTTGAGGTAAACTTTTGTATGTGTTATTTTAAGAATTCTCATTCACAAATACTTGTAAAGATGGTATTTTAAGGAAAAGCACTGTGTTCGTTTAATGATTTTGAAAATTTTCTCCTACAAAATTATGTTGACTCAAACGTATACTTTAAAACATCATAGAGGGCTGGGAGGTAGCTCAAGGGCATAAGTTCCTGCCTGGCAAGCTCAAGGTCCTGAGTTCAATCCCCAGTACCACAAAAAAAAAATCATAGACCACAGACAATATGCTAATCTTGATTTCTGAAGGGCTTCCTAAGATTTTAGCTAGTGAATGTACACCAAGCACTGCCATTCACCTTATTGCATGTTTTTCAGAAAAGAAGTAATCTTAGCATGTCATGTTGTACATGCTTCTATAAACTACCTCAAATAAAAAAGGTAACTTAAGTAATTTGATATCATACTAAGAAGAAAATCTTTTTTATGCCTGGAATAAGTATAAATGTCATCAAACAAGTGGTACTACTTGAAGATGGAAGGTTGGATATTTTAGGTTTACTAAAGACAAAGTACAAAATGATTCAAAGATATGAACTTGAGATTCAGAGATCACTAAAAAAGAAATATGGACCACATAATAAAATAAAAAAACATACATTTTATGAGGCATCAGAGGACCATTTTTCCATGCTCTATAGTTTTTCATAATAGAAGACTGTCTGTACCTACAGATGGATTGAAAACTAAACTAAAGCTATCACTTTCATCATCTTTATACCTTTATTCATTCCCCTTTAAGGAAGCTAGAGTGATTTATAGGGTAGAAAGATGATGAAAAAATGAAAAAAAATACACATCCTCCCTTTGAAAGAAATTCAATCTTCAGCGCACATGATTTCTTCTGTTTCTTTTGGACGTGTACAGAAAGTTCTAGAAGGTCTATATTTCTGATGGAGGAGCTAATTCAAATTCATTAATAAAACTAACTTATAGCTCAGGTCTTTTAGTTACTTTTCCTTATGCAGGCCCCAAGGGCTGATTTTTAAGGATGAAGAAAAAGCTAGATTAGGTAAGCTGTGTTTTCTATTGACCTATGAGATGATTATAAGTCCACTTTTTGAGATTCAGGGTAGCTAAATATGGACCATACCTGTCACTAAGAATTGTCATGACATAGGAAAAATGTCTGGGATAAATAAAATTCAATATATTTATCAATTGCCAACTACTCCAACACATTATTAATTTTTATATGTTCAATTAATAAAATATTTCTAGAAAAAATATAAATATTAATAACTACGTTTCATGATTTCTAATAAATTTGCTGTTTAATCTCAACAAGTTTAAAAGATTTTTTTTAAGTATTTGGTATAGGGTCTCACTAAACAGGTGGGACTAGCAGTAATCCTTCTGTTTTCATCCTCCCCAGCACTGGGATTACAGGTGTGCGCCACCACACCCAGTCTTGGTGGCTGGCTCAGTGTAGCTGGGGGTGGAGCTGGCACAGCATTTGGTGCTGGGGATCTAATTTTGGTCCCTCTGCTTGCCTATGCACCTGTTTAGTCTGAAAATTCTTGCCAGCCCTTAATCTCAACCATTTTTAAGTGCTACTCTAACATCTTCATAATAAAATAATGGGTAGAGTAGGTTAATTTCTTCTTGTGAAAACATGCCCTATGTGCAGGGGAATTATGAAAGACACATTCTGATTTACTCCTTATATCTATGAGTTAAACCAATTTTTGAAACTGTAAGTGGCATATTAAGTTCAGGATTCAGGAAACAGCTCATCAACTCACTTCTTCAGTGCAGTGGCAGTATGGAAATACCTGC